ACAGTAAACTTGAAATGATAGAGTAGCTACTTATATTGAAATTGTGGCGTATTACAAAGGTCTGCAAAGCGGCCAAATTGCCCCACTAGCAGGGTTATTTGGCCGGGGGTGTGGGGCAATTTGGCCGGTGTTAGTTTGAGGCCATGATTTTTGTTATAGGCGAGTCAGCTTTACATTCAGCAATGACGCGTGTCCTACGACGCATTTGAAGCATTTTGGAGGTTGACTCAGCCGTCACAGGGGTCGAAAATAGTCAAAATAGCGGCTCTAGATGCGATGACAGTTTTTTTACGAATAGCTTTTGAAGTAATCAAGCTAGGCCAAAACTAAAAGTACCATCGTAATTCTCTCGTCATTCCGCATCGAAACATGTATGTGTTGACCTCGAGAGGTCAAGGTCAAAGGTTGACTTCAGGTCACGTTACCTCAGGTCGCTTGACCTCAAGGTTGCGTGAGTTCAAGGTCATCATGTATATCATTCGATTCGTCTTGACGAGCTGAACACAATGACACCATTTGCGCGGCTGTATCTTTTTTCTGTAAGTATTTATTAGCAAAAAAGCGTTAGGTAACCTTTGATGACGTCACATGCCCTTACAGCTGTCCAATAGGAAATATGGCATCAAGGTAGTCAAAGTTGGTCATGAATTATGTCCTTTATGGTATAATTGACCATGACAACTCGGCCGTCCCAGCATAGTGACTCTGAGCGCACCGGCCAAGTTGCCCCGCTAGTCCCGGCCAAATAACCCCACATTGCCATTCTGAAAATTTTTGTCTATAAAGTCGTCATGGCTGTACAGAACTAGATGAAATTGTTCTTGGTACCGCTGAACACCCTCAAAAATGGCGCTATAATGTTGGAATTCGTTTACAGCCCAAATACTACATGTTATACAAATTTTTAAACGGAAGTAAAAGTTACCACTTTCTAACGAAATTCACCTTTCATTAATTTTGAATAAAACTAAGAGGGGGAAAGTTTTGACATTTGTTCTCGAGTTAGTTCTGCCGATGACAAATGAATAGAGACTAAAAATATTTCATTCACTTTTATCAGCTTTCGTACAGGTGGGGGCGGCCAATTTACACCACCGGCCAAATTACCCCACTCTCCCCTACCTCTACCTTGCTCCGGCGATCGGCGCATTTTTAGCGTCACGTACTTATATACGTACGCACTATGGACGTTTCCGACGGCCCGTAGTCGGGATTTAGTCTTTTGAAATCACTTTTCTACTGATGTTCAAAACGTGAATAATTCACCCTCGCCGGACGTATTGGTTTTCTACAGGTTCTGCGATACCTGAGCGAGCGTCATTTCAGCGAACGACAACTGAGCGAAACATTTTCAGCGATTATCAATTTAAGCGATTGACTTTTACAGCGATTGTCAAGTCGGCGAATTTAATCACAGCGATTATCAACTTTAGCGAGGACCAGAATCAGCGAAACCAGATTGAGCGAATATATGTTGTTCAATGAGAGACCAATTGAGCGAGTACAGTTACAGCGAAACCGAACTCGACGAAAGTCAATCATTTGCTACTTTTCGGAAATGCTTGCCATTGGAATGCCCGTTCGGTATGTGTCATGGTTCAAGCTGCGCACGGGGGAATCCAGTCTATGTTTCAGGGACCTCACCCTAATATCTGGAATTTCGTAAAGGTGCTTGGGGCAAGAACAAATTTTACAACACGGGGAACTGGTCCAAATTCAAGCGGGGGAAATTCGCGAAAAAACAGCATAAGCAATATGAATATCTGAACAAACGTTTGGTCACCATTATAAGCAAAGAGCAGGGGGTGAAATTAATTAAACCATTGGAATTTTTGAGAAATGTAGCATTAAATCTGGAGCTCAATGTCTGACCTTTGAACATGACATCCGCCATCCAGTTCCGGATAACCATGAGAAATTCCGGAAACATTCGTACGTATACGCTCGCAAAAGTAAAACAAAAAATACACCGTTACAGAATGATGAAGTGTTTCGCTGAACTGACAGTCGCTCAAATTGTAGTCGACGAAATAGATGTCGCTGAAACATAGTTTTCGCTAAAATTGATAATCGCTTTGTTTGATAATCGCTGAACTTGATAATCGCTGAATTGCCATTCGCTGAAAATGGTTCGCTCAAATGACGTTCGCTCAAATGACACTCGCTAAAGTCGCTCGCACCGTTTTCTACATACGTGCCGGCCGAGGGGGGGGGCGGGTACGACCGGTACGACCCCCTCGCCGTTTCGCCACTTGCACTGGTGGAGCTAGCGCGTCGCGGAAAAACGAGCGTGTGCGCCGTTACGAGACGCAGATATTGATATCCAATTTTAAGGTCCTAGGTCAACCGGTGACCTCTGAGGTCAGGTCAAGTGCCCCAAAGAACGGTTCCATTTTTGGTTAATAACGTCGCAAAAAAACGGCTGCAGAGCCGCGATTTTGGCAGCATCGTGCTCGCCTCGCTCAGGCGCGTCGAATGATGCACCTTTTGTTTGGATGAGGTCAACTTACGGTGTTGACCTCAGGTCACGGTCAGGTCAGCGCCCTTGGGTCACGAAATTGGTCGAAGTAGGTCATGTCGCATATCATTCGATTTGACAGGTCTTCCTGAGTCCATTGGTGGCTTTCTCGACTGGCTAGCTCAATTAGATCGGGAGTTATTGACGAAAAATTAATATGAACCTAGTGACGTCATAAATGACGTCACACAAGGTCAACATTGCAAAAGTGACGCATGTAGCCTTGCAAGGAGTTCATCAAATCTCGATTCTGTGTGCTTGAGATAGTTGGAGATCGTTCCCGACGGCAAATAGCAGTTTTCATTTTTCCCCATTGACTTATAATGGTGAGGTCACGAAAATGACATGAACTCATATGACCTTAACGAAAAGTCCGAGATAAACAAGTTGTGAGACTCGTAATGGATATTAGATCCTGCAAGCTTCATTTCCATGTGAAAGCTCCTCTGGCAGTGAGGGCGTTGCGAAGCTGCGACATCTGAAGACCGTGCAGAGGTTCACTTATGACGTCATAGGTCAGTGACCTGACCTGACCCGAAAATGCAGCTGTTGTCAAAAGATCCGGCTTGAATCAAAGATCAGGTATGCTAAGTTTCAGCTCTCTATCGCCAGCTGTTCGGATCTATCGCGAAAAAAAAAAAACTATCGGGGGCGGCACCCCCCCTCCTCGGCCGATGAGGTTTATAGGACCGAATCGGGCCAAATGTGACCAAATGTGCCGCCATGAAAGCGTCAAATTCTCATAGGACCAGTTCTGACAAGGTCTTTATATCACATCTTTATCTTGATTATCTTTTGAAGGCCATGGTCTAGGAAATTGCTTTCGATAATGCTTCACAAGTCCATTTCTAGGGCAGGCCTCATAAAGGTAGGTACCTACGTAGATATGTTTAAAATGGTCTTAACTACGTTTAAGAGCTACCAAGTCAAATCGACTTAACAGATACCAAAGCCAGAAATGATAGGTAAAACACCATGATCCTGAAATTTCTGTTGCGTGCCACTTATTGAAACGCTACTAAAGGTAACTAATTATATTAAAATGACTTAATTATATGCACCTACACAGTAACGCGGGAACTTCTTCCAGACTGTTGGGGGGGGGGGGGGCTGAACCATAATAGAGAATAATAGAGATCAACCTAGGGTACCCCCAAATCTAGTTTTCTCACCGGTTTTAGGCCACTTCAGGGGTGGAGATCTGTCGAAATGTCAGGGGGGGGGGGGGTCCAGGCCGGGCAGCTGCAGAGGCGGGCTGGATGCAGTACCATTGACTTGCATAGCAGTAATTCGCTTTCAGGGGGGTCCTGACCCCCCCCCCCCCCCGACCCCCGAGATCTCTACCTCTGGCCTCTGGGCCACTTATCTTTCAGACCTTTGCCTTTTCATCGAAAAAAAACGAAAATATTTGCAAAAAAAGTGAGGTATTCCGTCTCAGCTGAGTGTAAAAACTACCGTTTTGGCAACCTGGAGTAAAGGTTTTAATCTGCCAAATGAGTTGCCGAGATAGTGAAAGAGGATTTTTCACTTACATGCTTTCTTCCGTTAACGGAAGAAAGCATGTAAGTGAAAAATAATAGGTAATTATATTGTGAATTATATTGTGACCCACGACCCCTAATTTGGGGTAGACAAGCTGCACCCAAAGGTTCCTGGCCTCATGAAAAGTTGTGGCCTGTGGGGCACCGCCCCCACGGCCGCAGAGTTGTGGGGGCAAGCTTCCCCCACTGCCCCCTCCCCCGGTTCCCGCGCCTATGCATGAATCTATGAAATTATGTTGGTAGATTTCCGATTTCGATTCCTCCAGCTGGGGGGGGGGGTCAAATACATTGCGAGTCCCCCCCCCAGCCGAAAAGCTGGAGGGGCTCAGCCCCCGTTAGCCCCCGGTTCACGCGCCACTGCTACATAATTTATCTCAATATGGTAGGATCGAATCCACCCGCAGCACAAGCCTCAACATCTGCTCATTTCTCAGTCTTATGCCACCGGGTGCCCATGTCTTTCGCAGATTAGCGATGAATCACCCCTTATCGATGTCAGCTCTCAATGTGCATTGCTAGCAATTTATATGCGAATCCCAAGCGCTCGATGCCGTCGGCTTCTTGGAATACCATAATCGATTGAGCCGTGCCGCCAGCGGCGACCCGAGAATAACCCCGAGGGTCAGGAGCAATGTAACTTTTCGTGTCACAGGGCCAGACTAAGCTCTGATTCTGAAACGATGATGGGCGGGCCGGCTGAACCGTGTTTACGTTTCACTGAATTCGCAGAAATTTTGAAGATTTCGACGTCTAAGCACAGGCACTTCTAGGTAATGTGCCGCTCACGCCGGGCGAGTGTAATTGGCCGCTCGCCAGCGGCGCATGCCGCGTCACCTGCCCGCCAGGCGCCAGCCAGCCAGGCGGCTGGGCCGGGCGATTGTGACGTCACGCCTAGCAACCAGGTGAGCTGATCGTAAACAAAAGAACTCTCCGTTGCTATGAGCAGCTGGCCCTGTAAACGTGGCTGGTGCGTGGTTGAGTGAGGTGCGCTAGATAGTGTACTGCGCTTTGAAATGCTTTTGTGATACCGAAGTGGGGCCGTATAATGTGACAGTGAGATTCTAGTAGGGCTGAGCCGACCCGGATGTGTGGAATCGATTTATCGTGCTTCTTCGTCTCGAACCATGACGGTTTCGTCCGGTTCTTGACGTTTGGTGCCGGCTTTTTTGTCGTGCACCTTTGGTGAATTATGAGTGGTAAGCGCAAGCCATCCACAGCATCGAATAACGCTTCGAGTGATGAGGAGGACGTGGGACGGACGGCAGACAGCAAACATGACACTTCAGACACTGGCTATGAATCAGTGGGCTCACCTGGGAGCGTCAGCACCATCAGCGTCTGCAGCGAGCAAGCGCTGGAGGAGTTGCGCGCTTCCCAGCCTCCTCCAGGGTCAGGCCTATGGCCAGGTGCTCGGGAAACCTCTGGTGCTCGACCGAAGACGCAGCCGAAGAAGAAGAAGAACCAGGTGGCACTGTGTGAGCAGGCGGAAGTCAGCGACGACCACGAGTCTGTTCTCTTGACCCCTAAAAGTCGGTACAAACGAGGTGAGTCGAAGTGCGTTGGGTTCTCCCTTCTCCGTCTCGTCTCCGTCTCCGTTTCTGTCTCCGTTTCCGTCTCCTTTTCCGTTTCCGTCTCCGCCTCCGTCTCTCTCTCTCTCTCTCTCTCTCTCTCTCTCTCTCTCTCTCTCTCTCTCTCTCTCTCTCTCTCTCTCTCTCTCTCTCTCTATCTCTCTCTCTCTCTCTCGCTCTCGCTCTCTCTCCTCTCTCTTTCTCTCTTCTCTGTCCTTTTTACATTGTCTCTTATTTCTCTTCTCCATCCCCATTTCATGCTCTTGCTATCTTTCTCTCCTTCTTCCGCTTCCACTACCCTACTTCCCGTATAATTCTCCTCGCCTAACCCTTCCCTTTCATCACTGTAATCCTCCCAACGAATCTCCCTCTCTTTCTCACCTTTCCTCCTTCCTTCTTTCTCTCCCTTTCGTCCTTCCACCTCTTTCAGCATCCTCTTCTCAATTCTCGTTTGTAAGTCTTGCTGTATATTTTTTCATCGTTAGCGTTGTGAGCGGCGAGCGCTCCTTCAGGTTACGTGGCCTGAAGTCATATTCTGGCTATCAGATACAGCACACTTACCTTGGATTGGACATCAACAGGACACAGAATAAGCAGAATGTAATATAATAACGATCCATCCGTTAGTAAATGTTCCTTTGGAGGGCTGCCTGATGGTGATTAGAAATCGAGAAGGCCTATCAGCTGCCAGCCACAATAGACAGGCCGGACAATCGTGTGTTTTGTGGGCGTGTCTGTTTATCGGTCTGTCTGTTTGTCAGCATACCTGGCTGTCGGTCTGTCTATCAGTTTGTCAGTTAGTCAGTCAGTCTGTCTTTCTCAGCTCTGTCGCTGCTCATTGTTCAGAGCATTTTCTCAGTTGACTTGCCATAGCGACTGAACGGGTCCACATTAGTTTGTGCGATTACAATGCTTAAACCGGTGCTATATTGAGCAATTTTGAATAATCTTAGCATTTTTTTGAACTATTGTGCATATAACACGTTCTATATAATTTATATAATCTGGTAAGGTGACATTTTGGAAATGTGATATCGAATGAAGAGACGTCCGCGGAGTTCACTGAATTCAACGGCCGTGGAAAAGTATAATTCATCTGAAGATGGGAATGTCTGTCTCAGTCTCGTCTCACTGCTTTTGATACCGGTGAGAAGCTTAGGGCGCCCGTCATACGTGTACCTAGCTAGATTTTGGAAACGGCAAGACAATGACAGCCTCTGATGGCGCTCCATCACAAACTTTGACCGAGTTGGGATGATGGATGAACTTGTCAAAATGGGCCCTTCAGACAACGTCGTGTCCCGAGTCTGGAACCCAAGTATAGCGGTATTGGCACACACATGGACTGGACTGCTAGGTATCCAATTTAGGGCTGGTACGGCTAGTTAATCGTTCCAGTCTATTTGTACGAGCAACGTGACCCAGCTACAATTTGCATGACAGACTCGGTCCCTTTACATAACAAAATGTCACCGTGCACGCGACCTCCGATCCCCAGGGAGCGCTTGTTGTTGGTTCTGAGTCAGCAATGGGACTTTGCTAACAGCCATGCACTACGCAGCAGAAAGGAGCCGCTGCAGTGTCCCGCCGCGCAGTAGCCCTGAATGGCAAATTACCGTTATATAAGGTCACCCAGGCATTCTCGATTTCTCGACTTTCCATGAATCATTTCTCTCGCTACCAGCAATCCCCGAATTCACGCCAATGCGTGGGGTTGTCAGCGGTGCGCTGTAAAATTACACCCATCAGCACTGTCCGGCGCAGAGACGCCCGGAGTCCCGCTGGCGTCGGGTCCTGCCCCAGCTGCAGCGTCCCGTGCTTCCGGCCCTCTCGGCGCCCGTCCGCCCGCGGACCGGCCGGACCGCCTCACCTGGCCGGACAGTTTGTCGCCGCGTGCCGTGCCGCCGCGCAGGGGTCGATAGTCGCCGCCGAGCTCGCATGTGATGCCGGTTATTGTCCGGCCGCCGATACAGTGCCCCGCTGCACCCCCCCCCCCCCACATCGCGCCGTGCACTCGGGGAGGGGGACGCCGCTGAAATATGACAAACACGCGCGAGCGTGTCCAATGTCAGGATCAATCGGCACGGTACGCCGTCAGCTCTCGGCTCCATCACTGCAAACCATCGGTGAAAATGGCAATAAATCGGGGCTCGGGCTGATGAGTGAAACTTTCATCGCCCCAGAATGCGGATGTTGATCGACCGGGGTGCATTAATAACATTCCATGTTTACGTGTGTCGTTTTCTGACCGTAGGTGGGCCGCCGGTGTTTCTAACCGCGCGTAGGCCGCTCGCTGGTGTCTTTGTATTGAGTGACTAGCTGGACGTGTCTTTGACTGTGCGGTGGCCTCAGGTGTTTCTGTGTCGACCTCCGGTGTTTCTAGCTGTGTGATGGTTGAGTTGACCCACCAGTGCCTCTGACCGTGCGTAGGCCGCTGGTGTCTCTGCCTGTGTTGGTCGCCGGCGCTCCTCCCCGCTGATTTCCCTGTCGGTGTTTCTGCGCAGAGCCGCTGCCGATGAAGCTGAGGGCGCTGCCGCAGTCGTTCTGGCAGCAACCCAACACCAACAGCACGGCTCCGAGCAGCGCCGCCCTGCCGCCGCTGGTCACCACGGCCAGGGACTCGCAGGACCTCAGCGGTGAGTGTGGGGGCGGCCAGGTGGACTGCGGTGGGTCGCAGTCGGCGGGGCTCAGCTCGGTAAAACCAAGAGCTGTTTTCGTTTGCCATAGCTATATGCACTGCTGCTCGATGCCCCGCTAGCTTTCTGCATTGACGCCCCCGTTTCCAGATCTCCCAGGTCGGGTCTGTACTCTGTACGGTAACGTCCGCTCTCCTCGGTCGCCGACGCCCCGCTCTACCCAATGCATTGACGCCCCACTGTCCTCGGTCGCTGACGCCTCGCTCTGTCCCGTGTGCTGACGCCCGCTCCCCCCGGTCGCTGACGCCCGCTCTGACCGGAGTGCCCTGGTGTGTTTGTGCTCTGTACGGTAACGCCCGCTCTGCCCGGTCGCCGGCAGACGTGCGGCCCATCACTCCGCCGGACCGCTCGGACCGCGAGCGTACCCGCAGCCTCACCGTCGGCAACACGGACCTGCTGTTCTCGCTGTTCGACGGCGTGGACCCGAGCGTTCAGCGGCGCCGCGTGGCCATCGTCAAACGCGGCAGGTCAGCAGAAGTCGAGGCGACAGACATGAGGGCAGACGGTGGAGTAGACACATGTTATAACGAGCTTATTCTCAACTAAAAAAGAAAAACTGCAAAACCAGCTGCTAATTCTCAGGTGATTTGTTTTTGTGTACACGGGTGTAGGTACCTAATTTCGTCCCACGCATACATCTGCCCCACGCTGACACCGTCCGTCCCGTGTTTTCGGCAGGCCGAAGAAGGTGACGTCCACGCTGCCGCGCGTCTCTCTGGATGACGACCCGTACATGTCGAGCGCTGCGTCCGACCCCATCCTTCCGCTGTTGCCGGAGCGAACCAGCCAGCCGGGCACGCCGGCCGCCGGCCGCGGCACGCAGGTCAGTACAGATTACAACAAACAGAGGTACCGGGCCAGTACAGACAGAGGTACCGGGCCAGTACAGACTACAGAGTACAACAGACAGAGGTACCGGAACAGTACAGACTGAGGTACTGGACCAGGCAGCCGGGCACGCCGGCCGCCGGCCGCGGCACGCAGGTCAGTACAGACAGACCACAGACAGTACCACAGACAGTACCACAGACAGACAGAGGTACCGGAACAGTACAGACTGAGGTACTGGACCAGGCAGCCGGGCACGCCGGCCGCCGGCCGCGGCACGCAGGTCAGTACAGACAGAGGTACTGTATCAGGTCAGTACGGACAGACAGAGGTACCGGAACAGTACAGACTGAGGTACCGGACCAGCCAGCCGGGCACGCTAGCCGCCGGCCGCGGCACGCAGGTCAGTACAGACAGAGGTACTGTATCAGGTCAGTACGGACAGACTGAGGTACCGGACCAGCCAGCCGGGCACGCCGGCCGCCGGCCGGGGCACGCAGGTCAGTACAGACAGACCACAGACAGACCACAAACAGTACCACAGACAGACAGAGATACCGGGCCAGCCACCGCCGACCGCCGGCCGCGGCACGCAGGTCAGTACAGAGTACAGACGGAGGTACCGGGCCAGCCACCGCCGGCCGGGGCACGCAGGTCAGTACAGAGTACAGAGTACAGACAGAGGTACCGGGCCAGTACAGATAGAGGTACCGGACCAGCCAGCCGGGCACGCCGGCCGCCGGCCGCGGCACGCAGGTCAGTACAGATTACAACAAACAGAGGTACGGGAACAGTACAGTACAGCAGAGGTACCGGATCAACAGTACAGACTGAGGTACTGGACCAGGCAGCCGGGCACGCCGGCCGCCGGCCGCGGCACGCAGGTCAGTACAGAGTGGTACCGGGCCAGCCACCGCCGGCCGCGGCACATAGGCCAGTAAACAGAGTAAGCCGAATCGTGTGAGTCCCCATCTGTCCCCTCATCACTGCCCGACAGCGCGATCTGGTCACGTGACAGGCCGTCGCGCGGTGCGACCTCTCTGTTGGCGGGCTCCGGACTGGTCATTAGTGGTGTCTGTTCTGCCGCCGCCTGCAACGCCCACCGTCACGCCACGGAGACCGCTGGTGGGACGGGCCCGAACGTCTGGAATTCTGGACCGATCGGAGACCCAGCGCCCATCACACACGCTGTGGTCCTGGAGCCCACAGCGTGTGCATTACCGTGTGTCTGCATTACCGGTAGCGGTACCGACGGGGTGTACCCCGCACTGTCAGTCTGTCTGCAACATTGGTAGTTGGTACATACGTACCGACACGGTGTACCCTGCGCTGTCTGTCTGTCTGCGACATTGGTACCGACACGGTGTACTCCACACCACACTGTCTGTCTGTCTGCGACATTGGTACCGACACGGTGTGCTCCCACCCCGCGGTACTACTCCGCTCTGTCGGTGTGTCATCGGTACCGGTACCGGCACGGTGTGTTCCCGCGGTACCCCGCACTGGCGATATGTCGGTAGCACCAGGTGCTGATCCAGGGTGACTGACCCCCGTGTGGCGTGCGGTGCCGATCGTACCGGCCGGAAGCAGCGCCCACCCCCACCCGTGCCCCCGTCAGTACGTCTGTCAGTGCGCCTACCAGCCGACCGGCTGGCCCGTGCTCTGAGCGCAGGTGGTGTCACCGCCACTGCCAAGGCCGATCAGCTGCCGGTGAACGGGCGGGCGCCGGCTCGGCAAGCTGGGCTGGTTCTGTGGTTCATTGTGCGGGTGCTGGTACGAACAGCTGGGTTCTTATTAGTGATGTCATTTTCCAAAAAATGTCTGACCGATACCGACCGAAACCAAAATTTGGGAAAAATTTCCGACCAAATACCGACCGATAACATCCCAAGCCAAAATTTGACCGAAATTTGACCGAAATTCTATTTGCTATTACTCTAGGGGAGAACGGGGTTAATTGTAACATTTTTTGCATTTTATCATCTGGTGCAAACACGTTTGCAGATATAAAACTCTTTCTTTTATTTTCAGAAACTATGATGTTTTGTCTTTAAAATGTTGTTAAAACATTTCCGAAATAACTTATTTTTGGGGTCAAAATTGTTGTCCGAAAAAGTCAATTCATCTGTTACAATTCCCCCCAGATACGGGGTCAAAAGTAACACCACCCGGGGACAATTGTAACATGCTAATTTACAGGCTACAGCGACACAATTTTTCCCAAAACTTTGATTTAACAAAAGTATTGAACACTTGTTCATCTTCCCAGACTTGGTAGAGACGGTTCTTCTCAGGAAAAAGGCTTAAAACCTCGCATTTATACAGGGGTTGGATGGACCTCCTCTCCCTCGGTTTTTCGCAAATAAATCACGTAAAAAGCTGCCGATTGCGACAAAACTTACAGTTCTCTTAATTCTAGCAATGTTTCATCTCCCTTGAAACTTTGACGACTTTGACATAGTGGCCACTGACCTATAACCTGTTACATTTGACCCCTGCAAAAATGTTACAATTGTCCCCGTCGCGCCTTGACATATTTTAGACGAAACTGGCGCATAAAGATTTTGCATGTACAGCATTTAATGCTTTCAATTTATGGGCAACAAGCCTGCCAACGCTTACACAAAGTCTGAAGTCGATATCTTTTCAATGGCGGGAATGAGCTAATCAAATATAACGGTATAAAAATTTACAAAATGCACTCAAAAACACATTACTGTGCACAGCCATCGACATACCCGGCACTTTCGCTTCATACTCCGTTGGGAAAGGCAGTATAGAATTACGCATTTTCAGTCTTAACATCAGCTCATTCTATTGGTAACTTTATGAATTATTAACACTGTTACAATTGCCCCGTGTTACATTTGACCCCGCTCTCCCCTACCCCAAAATTAAAATATTTGGTAAATTCTGATGGAAAATAATGGGAAATGACATTTCAGTCCAAGTTCAGTCAATTCTTAGCCCCTGCAAGATACGTTTTGTGGTAGAAGTTACATTGCTGAGGGTAGCAACACATGGACCTCAGCATTTCACAGATTTGGTTAATTAGAATTGTCAAGAATCTACTGTGGTCTATGTAAGGAAGAATGCTCATTCATGTTGAAAAGGCACGATCAATTAGTAAGTCAAATGGTTGGTAATAGGTATGTTCATGACAACATTCCCTAGGAGAAAAGGCGGAATCAAAACACCACAAAACACATCAAAACTGCTTTGAAACTTGCCTTGAGTCTTGAGATGTGGTCTGAGATACTCTAAAAAGAATTTGACACTGAAAATCCAGCTGAAAAGGCAGGTATTAGGTAGCTCTGAGCATGAATTTTGTCCCAAAAATGAAATGAAAATTCATTAAACAGGCACTTTGTCTTATCTCTTGTTTGTCTTATCTTTACAAGAAAACAAAATATGCAGACAAAATTAATACGAAGTGGCGCCAAAGTGGCGCAAAAAGTAATAGAAGAACCAAGGATTGACTTTTAAGATCCTCTCTTCCCTAACGAAAAGATGTATGATGATGACGTAATATTTATTGATATGCCCTTTTGGTCGAATTATTGAAGGGAAATTAATTTTCTTTTAGTGAGTTACACTCACAATGTTGATTTCATTAGAATTCAATATCGTGCTGGATCATTTACATCAATAAAATAATTCACGAGGCAGCATGTAACAATCCAAAACTTTTTTTGCAGCAACTTAATCAGCTGGTTTAAAGTCTCTGTTATGGCGCATCTGTTTCGAAATCCTTCCTTGTGTTTGGAATGTGGAAGATTCCAGGGCGGTGTTTCACGGGACGCTGCTACCACGCTGCTATCAAATTGCGCGAGCTGACGTCACACTTGTGGTAGTGTTGGAGCAATGGGCCTGTTGATGTTTCCATGGAAACCCAATTTGACACGTGTAAAAGCAGCGTGCTGCTATCACCGGTGAAACAGGGCCCAGAAATCGGACATGGGCCGAATCTGTAGTTTTTTGTCAAGATTCCTATGTTTTTGTGTTGTTGTCATCTATATTTCAAACATTTGGTTGGTACCTGCAATATTTAAGGAGAATGTGGAATAGTATACACATGTGAAATGTAAATGTGATCACTGCTAAGTGCTAAGTGCTAACTGTCCAGTCTTCAGAAACACATTTCAGTAATTCAAGTTATTTTTGTCCTTGCATTTTTGATGACTGTATAATGATTTGTAGGCAATACTTCTTTGATTACAGGCAGGGGCGTCGCCACGGATTTTTGAGTGGGGGGGGGGGGGGGGTCGGGTTTCTAGTCTTCACCCGATGGGTAGGGGTGTTTTTTTTGCCACACTTCCCAGTTTTGTGCGTGCGTATGTGTGTGTGTGTGCGTGTGTAACAAATGCGCGCCGACCAAATTTGGTATAACCTATTAGGTAGGTATACCTACCTACATCACTTGCGTAAAAATTATCACTGGTCACTTAAGGTCGCCATGTCAAGTTCACTGTTCAGTTATACGGTATACCTCTATAAAAACTTTCCCCTCTCGCCATTCTTGTAGCTTTTCTCCCATAACTTCGAAATTTGGTAGACTGTAGTGTAAAGGTACCTAATGTATGGGGTTATACGTGTCAACAATTCATGATTCTAACTGAGGATTTACATCTATGATGTGAAGGCAGGTCAAATACGTGACCTCATCATTAGAAAATAATGAGAAATTAGAAAAAGCACGAGTGCCTCCTGCTTTGAAAAAGTTCGTCAGAAACGCAAAATATCTTTGGAGCCATGACAAATCAGCTCATCATTGCCAGGGACAGGGTACAACTTATGGCGAGTGATGACTCGAAAGGTCATTAGTGGAAATGTCCATCGATGGCCACCAGCTTTTTTTTCCTACAACTTTTGACGAAGACGCGGTAGAGCGATGACAGCACCTGGAAGGTGTTCACTGTTCAGCTCAACAACACGGATCCATTCATATGCAGCAGGAGGTCCTTTTTCGATCAGGACATAACGTTGACCTGAGGT